AGAAAGTTTGTTGAGTTTTTGATAGGGGGGAAAGAAGGGGGAGAGAAAAGAGTTAGCGGAGGCTTTGGTGTTTGAAATACTTCTTCCCCCCCCCCCCCCCTATGAAAATCGTATTTTTTCAGGCCTTGATGAAGTCATTCGCGGATTGCATTCCAATTTGGGACAGCGGATCGCTCTCGTCTCGTCAGTGGGCCCACTGCATGCAGTTCGTTGTGCTGGATACGAGCTTCAGGAGTTCGTCGTATCCACGTTCCCCAAGTAAGTGAAAGCTCTACTGCTGGGTACGCACCGGAGCAGTGTAGTATTCGGATATTCCATATGTGACACAAGATACCACACCCCCTACACCAGTTGCAAGGCTCGACTACTCCCGACAAAAATGATGTACTGCTGTACTTGAAGTGAACGGCACGTTTTCAGAAAGCTTTAGACGGGTCGGTTCCAATGCCACAATTTTGACGCCACCACTCTTTGTTGCTGCGGAGTAGTCGAGCTTTGAAAATTGTTTCAGAGGGTGTGATATCTTGTGTAGACGCCGCGTATTTATCGGGACCATACGAACACTATGAATCACTAGTTATTCGGGGGATGTGTGTGTTGTGGGTTTTCGTCCTATGTATCATGGCGACAGTCCCCCCATTTTCAGTGTATGTAGAGTACTACAGTACACTTTTTAGTGTATTCTTCGTACACCTACAACCATGCAGGGTCTCGCAGGAGGGGGGTGAACACCCAGAGGGCTTTTCCTTCTTTTTATTTATTTTCGTGCCGCACCATTCCTCCTGAGGTGCGGGCTGAATTTTATTTTTATCGCGAGAAGGGTCCAGCCGTCCCTTTCCCTCGTCAACGGATGGGGCAGCAAAAAGAACGACAAAATATGCATATGATACAAACTGCTTGCTTCCAAATTCTAACGTATTCCTTGCATGCATATATATGCATATTGCGAAGGAATACCACGACGACGGCGGGGGTCCCGCTATCAGTGGGTTGGTGCACGCGAGTCGTACCCGGAATAAGGCGGTGACTACCCAACGCAAACCAACTTGAAGGCAGTGACCACGAGCGCACATTGTGTTGAGCTCCTGTTCTTGTCTGTTCCAAGAGAATGCAAAGAACGCGAGGAATATGCATACAACGAGAAGACAAATGTGGCGCACTTATATGGCAGCAAAGAGTGGCGTGAGAATCGTTGGTCGAACGAACCGGTACATGAATTCAGGGAGGAGGCGGCGTCCTTGTTTCAGCTTGAATAATATCACTGCTTTTTTTAATGCACTTTGTTTGGTTTTCAATGCGGAGGCCTCTTGATATATCTGTGCTTCCGAATCTTGCTGATTTTTATTTTTTTTATTCTTTTATGTAATTTCCTCTGCTGCTTCCAACGTATGTTCAATGTCTCAGAAGCGTCGATATTGCGACATTGGGTCTCCCCAGAGGTTCCATGTGTATCCATATTCTCTGGTAACTCACCTTGAAACCTGTTCCTGTTCTTCGCGAGCCCTGACAAGCCCACGGGCCTGATCTTCAACTCATTGGTATGCTCTCTCTGTCTCTATCGCTCGAGTTGGTGTCTCGAGACCGGGTCTTGCCTTGCTGTAGCTCATACCATTGTTCGCGGACAAGCGCTATAAGAAGATCGGATACCGTTTGTCCGCTAGTAATCTGAGCTATGATACAAGCAAGCCAAGACCCGTCCTCGTGACAGCAGCTCGAAAGAAGCAGAGACAGAGAAGACCAAAAGGAGTCGAAGCTCAGGCCCGTGAGTGACTTGTCGGCACTCGTTCGCAAGGAGGCGTAGGATACGAGGTAAGGTGCTGGAGACTTTCGCACTGCTGCTACACGTTCTTTCTTGCCTCTGCTTCTTCTGACGAATATTTTTTCACACCTATCTTGTCGCCACTGATTGCAGTATTTTTACTGTTCAGGAAGACAACGAACGGGTCATACCAGCCGTGGCAATCAGGTCCTACAATAGCATCTTTCAAAATAGAAGTTTCTTGTGGGCGGGCCGTGGCGGTAATCGAAAGCCGGCCTTCAACAGGTTGAACTAAATAGTGAAACTCAACCTAGCATGCAGGTGGACGTGTATGCACGTGTCTCCGTGCTGGTATCTCGTCTTCCCCATGTTCAAAGGAACGAACCACCTATCGCACTCAAGTTTCACCAGGCACTGACTTCCTCGGGTGTGGTACATTTGGAGATAATTACTTCTATCTGGGATTCACGAATTCACACCATCGCGCGGTGCACCAAGCCCTTGCAACCCCCGTCAAAAATGCAGTTCATTCTCCACTTCGTGCGCACAATCAGTTCTGGCTTAAGAACACCCGAACCTCTCGTCTAGCCCAAGCTTCATGATAGGGTTTGGGATGACGAGGGAGGAGATTCTTTGGCCAATCCCCCCCCCCCCTCCGCCCACCTCGGTCCTGTACTTTTGAACAAAACGTATCGTTTTAGTTTCGGTGCACATGCCACGCGATAAGTTAACTATTTGGTGAACCCCTGTCCCTCGAAGACATTCAGCCTCTTCGTGACATGCAACACCGTTGTTCTGATATCCCACCCCAAATTCTCTGTTTTTTCTTCAACGTACCGATCCTGTCATCCCGCTCACAATAATGTATCGCCTTAGTTTCCGTGCACATGCCACCCGGTGAAGTCAACCACGTAGCGGCCCTCTGTCCCTCAAAGGCATTTTGTCTCTTCATCACACGCAACACCGTTATTCTGAGATCCAAACGCCATCAATGCCGTCGCACCCAAATATCTCTGCTCTGCCGTTCAATGTACCGATCCTGTCATCCCGCACACAATAATGTATCGCCTTAGTTTCCGTGCACATGCCACCCGGTAAAGTCAAACACGTGGCGGCCCT